AGCAGGAATCTGAACACGTATCCTACAACTGTAATAATGAAATAAACTGAGATGCCTTACAGCTGCAGAATACATTGTCCAGCCTTGACTGATGACGGGGCTATGAACACAAGAGCTTTGACATACCCCTGTCTGCCAGAGAACAAGAATACAACTGATATGAGAATCTATGCTATAACCCACATTCCTAAACACAACAGTTGCCCTAGATTAAGATGGATAAGCAGGATTTAAAGAAAGCCACCATCACAACCCAGAAAGAAGTCTGCATATGTAGTGGGAACAATACGAAAGGAGTGCTCAGACAAAAGAGCCGTGAAAACCTACTCAGAAAAATGCAAACCAAATTGTAAAAGCAAAATCATCCTAAAGTTCTTACACGCTCAGCTGTAAAAAGCAACCAAATTAATTAAAAGCTAGATGGAGACAAACATATTTGACTATTTGACCTTCTGTATAATCAGTGACTTTGGTAACATAAAATATTTATGGGATTGCTTTGGAAGTTCACATACTCTCTAAAAATAGTTTAAAAACAAAATAGTTACTAGGTTTGATACAAAAATATTGATTTCAAAATCTGCGGCATAAAAATATACAGTTATTCTTGCTGTCCTGACATTTTAATCCTCAGAAAACAGTGTTGGAATTGTTTCTTTATCCTTTAAAAAAAATTGAATGGATATAAAGCTTAGAACTAAATAGATCAAGCACAGTTAATAGCACAGGAACAGGCATCTTCACCATCACCTGGATGCTGCTTTTCCTAAGTGAATCTATTAAAGGTTCTGTCTTGCCACACTAAAGTCATACAGGGGTGAGAAAATCATGCAAGTAACAGACCCTCTCCCCAAAACCTCTGAATGTTCAACTGCCTGAGAAGGGGGAGGAGGAAGAAAAAAGAAGCATAACCATGTAAAATTACTTCTCAGCAGTACAGAGAGATTCATTCCATGTATCTCCCATAATTCTTAAAAGGGATCGGTCACCCACTCTCTCCACAAAATTTTTAGCTGCCTGACAGAGAAGATAAATTCCACCCCAAGAGCCTCTTTACCTTCTGCAATGAGGAAGTCAGATTAAGGATCACATCTGTGAAATGAGTTAGAAACTGGTAGGACCTGAAAAAACTGAAAAATCTATCCTGTTGAATAAAGTTTCAGTTGGCTTATTTTCTGGCTGTCAGTATTTCAAGCATTTTCATCCTCTTCTGCAACTAAGGAAATGGCACTATCAAGTCAACACCTCCAAGTAAGAAGTTCATATGCTAAAAAGCAAAAATTTAAGTATTGGATATTAAATTTAAATACATTCCAGAAACAACTACAGGTACATACGTGCACAATCAGTTATTACCCAAAGTCCTCTGCTTGCTGAGCACATTTGAATGGGTAACATGAAAACTGTGTTACTTTGACTCATGTCTTAAATTTGCATGGCAAAGTATGCCTCACCAGGTACATCACATCCTCATGGAAATGCTGCAATACTTCACCTCATAAATAAAACAGTTAAACACTAAGCTGGCTTTCAGAATAAAAATTCCTTCACACTTCTCAGATAGGGCTTTTATGGATTAGACTGTTGGGCCCTTACCTCTAAGAAGAATGCTTTCAGAGATAATGCCTGCAATTTAACAATTGAGAGAACACATAAAAGCCCATACCTTTTGTTCCACATTGGTTAACAAGGGAGGAATTTCAGAAGATGAGGAGTTTGGCAGGCCCAATGCATCACAAATAGCTTGCACTTCCTGGTAAATTTCATTGTGTTTTTCCAAATGAGAGCCTTTCTTTTTCTTGCTGTGCAGTATCTTTAAAGCCTGAAGTTCTGTACTTAGAAATACTAGAAAGAAAAGTGTCATTATGGCAGATTTAGAGACACATGAATATTTCTGCATACACATTCCCATACACAAATACAATTACACATTTATAAGACAACCCTGATAAAAAGGAGACTCTTCCTCAGTTCTCCCCTGGACAGGTCAGTATCAGTTTCCCATTACTTACCTGAACTAGCTCTCACCTGACTTCCTATCTTCAGTCTACACAACATACTTAACTGCTTAACCCACTTCTGTCACCAGACCCCTAGTTCCTTGGCTAGTTTTGTATTATTGCAATGGTTCCTGCTACTATTCCTTTGTCCAAGGCCATCTCTCAACCCTGCACTTTCAAATCAGGTAGCATTTCCTTTTAAGATGTCCAGAAACTTCTCAGAAAAACAGGAAGCAAAGTCTCGGTTTCAGAAGAGCTGGAACTGGATCAGGCGAGAGATGAGGCCTCAGTAGATTAAACCATACTTCACAAATAAAGTTTAATTTCTACTAAAATAGTTTCCTAATAGTTTTCTATTTTCCACTTCTGCACAAGTGAGCTGATGCATGCTCAGCTAAGTTGTATAATTGTACACATATACTTAAATACACATAAAGAACTATTTAATGTAAATTGTAGAATAACGACAGGGCATGCACATACAACACTGTATTCTAAATGGGAATAAAAAATGCTTGTAACTTACAAAGGAGTTTAAGACAATCTTCTTTTTCTCTTAATCTGTCTTTGATGTCTCCAGATACAAGTGATGAATACGGACAAGCCATTTCTCTCAGAAAGCCACTAATCTCAAGCTGGAAGCTCTCTATATCTTTATTGCCTATGAGAATAAACAAGTGCAAAGCTTTGAACAATGTGGTGATGCTACAGCAGTCTTTGAAGACTTTAATGCAACTGAACATCACTATGAAATGAACAGCTTATGTCACAAAGCAGCATATCAATGTAATTAATTTTCTGATGAACAAGTTGTAGGAGTCATGTACCCATTATTTCCAATAGTTGTTTTTAGTTTTACTACTTTTTTTGTGAAAACACAATCAACATAAAATCTCATCCAAGTTCCAATACTCAAAATAATCAGGTAGCAGTAACGAGCAACTTGCATATGCACACACAGTGCTGAAAAGAACACTGCACTGGACCAAGCAGCTGAAAATACTAGGCACTGGAATTTAAGCCACCAAAATCCCTGTAAGTTTCAAGGCCAGGCTGCATGAGGCTTTGAGCAAGCTGGTCTAGTGGAAGGTGTCCCTGTCTGTGGCAGGGTGGTTACAACTAGATGATCTTTAAGATCTCTTCCAACCCAAACCATTCTGACTCCATTAAAACATGATTACATATAACAACTACTCAAGGATGCTTGAATGTACTTTTTTTATTTATGTAGATCTAAAAAAACCCCAAACCACAAGTACCTTTTCTTTTTTTTTTATAAAGAATCTTCACAAGACAAGACTTAGTCTATGAGCCACATCAATTCAAGTATCAGCCTCAGTCTGACTACCCTTTGGCTATCTTCTACATTTCAACACTGTAAATTCACTATCAGCTGAACAATATGGGTCTAAATCCACTGATTAAATACTAAACTGCTTTAATAAAGTAACATTCACATACCATCTACTGCAGTGATGCTTTCTTCCATATTACAAAGTAACTTTATTTGGGAACCTAACCAAACACAAAGCTCAAAAAACTCTGGTGAAGACAATCCATTTTCTGCTGCTTTGTTCAGGGCTCCCTCCTCCAACAGAGGACCAGTGTACCTGCAGAGAGAGATAAACATTACTGATACGAACCCTGTTTACCATTAATATGTTTTAAAAGCATTTTAGCACAAGCTGGTTAGTAACTATACTGAAGTAATGAATCTTTTAAAGTTACTTTTGTCAAGGAATAACTGAGGCTTTTTTAAAACAAAAATGAGTGGTGAACAAAATGGTCTGTCAGAAAACAGGAGACAGGCATCCGCATGTATCACGTGTATGTGAAAACAGAGTTTCATGTCTCAGTACATGCTAAACAGACAAG